GGGGGGGGGGGGTATTTTGCACGGAGGAGTCCATTTGCAGAAAAGTGTGGAGCGTTAACTGGGACAGATTTGTGGACAAGTAATGGCAGATCGGGGTGTAGACTCCAGCGGGAAGGAACCCCGTGGAGTGACGTATACCACAGTGGGAGAGGTTTTCCAGAGCTCGGCACGGTGTGTCTCAGGAACTATGAAAGGTGTGTGAGAAAATGAACGCCAAACAAACTCATGACCGCGCGTCAACTGTTTGACTTCAGATGGAGTATGTGGAGGCCTTAAAGGGGCAATATTATGTGTTTCTCAGGCATATATTTAAATACTGTACCATAATAAAGTCTCTGTCACCTTTAATTGTTATTAAAATGCTGTTAAGAACAGCAGACACTTTAAGTTTCACTCGTTTGCTTTGTTACTGCCGACAGCCTGCAGGAGTCATGGGCAGGCTGTGTGGGGTGGGGGGTGGGGAGGTGTGCTCTGTGATGAGGAAGTTCGGTTTAACGGCACGTCCCAGAGGCGTTTCTGGTCCCCACCTGTCGTTTTGCTCCTCAGCATGGCTGCCTAAAAACGCTGCAGGATTTCTCAGACATGCATGAATGAGTCAAAGCAAGGCTCTGGGCATGTTTTTGATGAGAGTATAATATTATAACATGATATAAAACTCAAAAAAGTTGATTTTACATGATATTGCCCCTTTAAACCTTTGAGAACTAATTGTTGAAGCTTTTCTAGGTGGAATTCATTCTCATTCTTGCTTAATGAAAAACTTTGATTGCTCAGCAGTCCGGCATCTTCGTTGTTGTGTTTTGCCCTTCATAATGCACCACACATTTTCAATGGGAAACAGGTCTGGACTGCAAGCAGGCCAGTCTAGTGCCCACACTCTTACTATAAGGCTTGGCATTGTCTTGCTGAAATCAGCAGGACTTTGCTGAAAAAGACAGGGCTTGGATGCCAGCATTTGTAGCTTGAATGTAGCTTTCAGTTTTAATGGTGCCTTCACTGATGTGACATTTACCCATGCCATGGGCACTAATGAACCCCCATACCCTCAGAGAGGCTGTCTTTTGAACTTTGCACTGATAATCTGGACAGTCTTTTTTTTTCCTTTGGCTCTTTCTGAGCCCATATGGTATCTGTTACAGAATGTCAGTTTTTCATGCAGTGCTTCCTGAGGGATCAAAGGTTACGAGCATTCATTGTTACGGCCTTGCTGCTTACTTACCAAGATTTGTCCAAATTCTCTGAAACTTTTGATGATACAGTGCTTTGAACTGTAGATGATGAAATCACTAAATTCCTTTAAATTGTACATTAAAAACATTCTTAGACTGTTTGCTCACACAGTTGTTCACAAAGTGGTGAAACTCACCCCATCTTTGCTTGAGAACCTTTGAGCCTTTCAAGGATGCTCCCTTTATACCCAATCATGAAACTCACCTGTTTCCATTTAAACTGTTCACCTGAGGAACGCTCCGAAACAGGTGCTTTCCAAGTCATTTTTTGCCCCGCCCCAGCAGGCGTCAAATTCAAAATGAGTGCATGTTTGCAAAATACAATAAATCTTTATTCAAACATTAAATATCTCATATTTGTAGTGTATTCAATTGAATACAGGGTAAAATTGAATTGCATATCATTGTATCCTGGTTTTATTTATGTTTTATGCAACGTCCCAATTTAATTGTTGTTGGGGTTGTAGTAGCTTTTAAACACGACTTCAAAAATCACCAAACGATCCCTTTAATGAAGAGGAAGCCACGCCCGGGCGGTCTGCTGAAAGACGGGCAGTCGGAGCGTGCATGGATGGGTTTAAATATGTCAGCAAAGATGACCCCCACACCTCTTCCCTTATCATTTATAGAAGCGCGTTGTAAACACAGACTAAAACTGGACGGCGGCCCACGCAAGCAGAGGCTTCGCAAAGACCGTCGTAAACGTCCCAGTGGTGCTTTTTTAAAATTTTTATCCTTCCAGTTGTGAGGTATCTGCGCTCCCCGAACACGAGCTCAGCTGACAGCCTCGCAGTGAACTCTCACTAAAAGAATTCTTACTCCTCGCGGGGTCGAGACCTCGGTGTTTATACAGCGCAGCCCCTGAAGCTCCATATTGTTTAGACAAGCTTCCAAACACGCCGTCTGGCGTTTGTCCAGTTACCCACCCGCTGAGACGTGTGTGCCATCCCAGCTTTGAGCACACATTGTTTAAGATGATTTAGACTCYAACCCCTCTGCTTTACTGATCTTCTGTTATCAGACTGTCAGCGTCAGGAGGTTTGTTCCCCCCGGAGCTGAGCTTCCTCTCTGTGTCGTCTGTCTCTGTGCTCGTCACCCAATCTGCCTCCGCTCAGTCTGTCCCTGTCCCCTCRGCTCACTCTCTGTCTATCTGTCTTTTCGCAGGAAGAAAAGGGCATTTCCTGTGAGCTTGTCGATTTGGATTTCCTCAAGTGCGCCGTGGGATTTCCCTTCATGAGAGCGCAAACGAAGGTAGTTTAACTTGATAAGTCGCTATTCTTAAATGTTTTGTTAGTATGAACATGTTCTTTTCAAGTGATTTTGTTATTTCAGTACCATTTCGCTGTGATTTTTGACACYACGCGGCTCTCTGGGGAGAACGATACGTTGCAGTTTTTAGTTCAGGCTAAAAGGTAAGGCTCCCAGTTTTTTCCGTATTTTGCGTATTTCTAATACCTTTCATGGGAATTGTTACTACAAATGTAGTTTGTTTCGTACGAGGTAATTAAATATGAGTGTCTTTTGTGTCTTTCAGCGCCAACCCAGAGCATAATCTTGCTGATAACAGTTTAGATCTGTCCATCCCACTGATCCATGAGACAGACACCACCATTACAGGGTAAGAAACCAACAAAAAAAAGTAGTAGTTGTTACAAGTACACAAGTTCAAAGCTGTCTAATGTGCATTTCTATCAAATAAAAAGTTGAATTGGTCGTGTATTTGTTGTCTCAGGAAAAGTAGGAGTTTTTTTCCCTCCATGTGGAGGATATCAACTTAAAGTCTTATCTGTGAGTGCTTTATCATAGCTCTGCTTCACAGAGGAAGGGGAGCGATGTAAAACAGTCCAGATTTGACAGAACTTTGACATTTGATAAGGCTGTTGTCTTTAATGTGGAGGGAGGCAACAGTGTAAACTTGGACTAAAACTCCCAGCTGCTCCCAGCTTAACGTGACTGAAAACAAGGATTTTTAAACAAGTATAGAAGCATAAAATAACAAGTCGGCTTCTGTTCTCCTCTCTTCTGCAGTGTGGTAACGCCGAACTCCTTTATGTATGGAAACTCCATCGATGCGTCTCGTTTCGTTCAGTTGGAAGACATGGAATGCAACTTTCAGCCTCTCAATCTGACTTTCCAGGTATTTTAAGCAGAAACAAAATGCACTTTTTTTAAAATAGCTCGTCCTCGTCTCCATCCCTGCTTGTCTTTGCACCGTTTGTTTCCAGGCCATAAACAAGGGGCCCAGCAGGCTGCCTGGCTCCACGGTGGACATCAGGATTCCCAACCGGCTGGCTGGAAACGGAGCCGACATGTTCCACGTCATTGAGACTCAGGTGGATACCAGCCGCAGACAGCAGGAGTCYTCGCAGTATATTAGTTTATTGGCCGCTCTCCTCATCACGCTGGTGTCCACTTCACAGTGCACAGAGCTGCTAGACTGCTGGTTGGCAGGTTTTCTCATTGATGGGTCTTATTGGAGTTAATAATCCAAAATATTGGTGCTGCCACTGAAACTACGGATTCGTTTTGTCTCACAATATTTTCCATTTAGACAGAGAAACGCGATACTCCCTCTGCATTTAGGTGTTTTCTTAACCCTTGCGTTGCTCGTTTCATATAGGTAGATTCAGGCAGGAGCTCAAGCTGTTAATTGTATTTACTGAGAATGGAGGGAGGAGAGGCAGCGTCGGTGTATCCCACCTCCTAGAGTCCATCTGGAATCACTTTTGTGGGATCAGTCGGCTTGCACGAATGAGGAATGTGACACCTGCGGGGTTGGCTACTGCCTCGTACCACCCGGATCCTAGAACCACATCTCATAAACACAGAACATCATCCAGTCGGTGGCGCTCAGAGAAGTCACATTTATATTTACATCCATGCACTGGTCAGATYATGTGTACATTTTGCACCGTTACTCCATYGGTTAAAGTTTTTCTGCACAGAATCCCATAATAGACCATTGTGCAAATTCAACGAGCTCAGAAAACACATATATAGCTTTTATTTACTGTGACAAGTGTATTCTCAAGTTAAAGTTACTGCTACATTCGCCTACAGTGTGTACTTTTTACTGCAGTAAATGCATTAAAAGCCGAGCATGCAGGAAAGGTAGTGGAGCGGACAACAAGGAAGGCCAGAGGAAAAGCTCTACTTCCAGAGGTGGAACAGAAGAAGAGGGGAAAGGGGAAGTGCTCCCTGGAGGCCGGGCAGTAAAGCAGACACCTCTAAATCACTTTGTATAGGAAATCTATCAGGGAGGGAGGGACCGGCATGTTGCTGAGGAGAACTTCCTAGAAGCCCCCGAGATTCAAAGCAAAGACAATAAAGTCATGTATGGTGACAACAGTGGAAATTTTGAGCCTTTAAAAAATTTCAGAACCCCTTCTTTGCTCCACGCCCATGTCACACATGATTACTTCAATGGAACATGATATTAATCATTTCACTGCATTTTGTTGTGTGCTTTGACTTTTTAGGAGTGCAGAAAATTAGAATTTACTTTCTCCTGGTGCTGCGTWGATATCTTAATATTCTGTTTGGGTCACAGTTTTCAACCTGTTTAGTTTTCTCTATTCTCTATGATGTTTTTTGAACCATTACATCATAGTATTTGTGACAGAACTGCCAAGTAATGTCATCTACAATTTGGTGGTCTTCCTTCTCCTTTGGTTCTGGGTCAGACTCTGGATACAACATGTAAGGCTGGATGGACAAGTCTTCCCTTGTTGACATCTTTTAATTTGTAAATAAAAAGTTTCTGCGCAGCTATATAGCCATAAACCCCTCTATTAAACTAGAATGGACCAATCTAAAAGCTAGAGGGGACGGGGTTTGAATTTAAAGAGACAGCCTCAAAATGAGTTGATCTGAGAAACACCTCAGAAAAGGGACGGGGCTTGCGAAGTTGCAATAAGGAGGAATTCAGAGCAACGCACTGCAGTTTAGAGATGGGATAACAGGCTCTTTGAAGGGATCTGGATCTTGGGGAGCCATTTGTTTCATAGAGCCGTTCAAAAGAGTCGTTCAATTTTGAAGGTGTTACGTCATCACATAGGGAAACACGTCATCACGAAGCCGTACGTAATGACGTCATCCCGTCYCGTGGGTGGAACCATGTGTTTGTCAAGCGGAAACCCCCCTCCTCCTTCCCCCATGAGCTTCTGTACTCCATAGCTCTGTCTGTTTTCCGTGAAAAAGCAAAGCGGGAGCGATTTAAGTATGAAACAAAAGATTATATGAGGAATAAAAGAAATAAAACTACAAATGGCTCATTACCACCCGCTACTCATTTCCTATCATCCGTTGTAAAGAGCGGTTCAAAAGATTCGGATCATTCGCGAATGTCACATCTCTAAATCCCACTTTATACAGACCCCAACTGAAGGATTTAAATGTGAAAAATAAGGATTTAAAAGCAGGATTTGTCTCATTTAAAAGTTCTGAACTGTCTTATTAATATATTTTCTTTTAGGTGGCAGACAGTCGAGGGAACTGCACCTCTCACAGGAATCCAACTCCATGCACCGTCCCACAGGAGAAAGAGAGCATCTTCCACTCCATATTTGCCTTTTTTACCAAATCAGGGCGCAGAGTCTTGGTAAATAAACAGGCTTCTCATTGTTTTTTTGACATTTTGGAGATCACAGAGAGTCTTGTTTTTCTTTCACTTAATGCGGACCCTGTTTACCACGAATCCCTCCTCCAGCTTTCCAGACCTACTTTTGTTTTTTTCTTTAACAGGACTGTGACCGGCCTGGAAGAGCGTGTATGACCATCTCCTGCAGTCTGGGTCCACAGCTGAAAGAAGAAGCTTTGAGCATAGAAATCAAACTCCTACTGAACACTGAAATTTTGAAAATAGTAAGACTTTACGATGTCAATTGATTTATTCTGTTGTGATCATAATGGAAGTAGAAATTTATTGTCTCTCCGTCCACAGGATAGTTCCTCGCTGATCCAGTTTGTCACGAGAGGCAGTGTGGAGGTGAACCACAGGACGGTGGAGGTACCGAACGGCCTGCCAGAAGAAATTTCTGTGAGTATTTTAGCTGTATATGGCCATACCACCCTGAACACACCAGATATCATCAGATCTCAGAAGCTAATCAGGGTTGGACCTGGTTAGTACTTGGGTGGGAGACCACCAGGTGCCGTAAAACCAATGTGGGAGACGGGAACGCTATCAATGGGAAACCTCTGACCATAATAGGTCATAGGTTGCCTTTTATGATTGATGACATAAAAATATATATTAACTGTAACAGAAAGTTTGTGTTCAAAAAAACACTTTAATGTTGCTCATCTGCATTTAAACTGGGTTTATGGATCCTTGGTCTTACAGAACTTGTTAAAAAACATTGATAAATCAGGGAAGCCWGCAGATATTTGAGGGATAAGAAATGCAAACATGAAACAACCTGCACAAACTGTTCATCCTCAAATGACTCACTAATTAGCAGATTTGTAAGTTTCAGCTCAACTGTAATGAAACCTTAGCGCTTTTCATAAGGTTTGAACATAATCCCACCTTGCTGGAGGGATTACGTCTCTGCTCTGGCCCGGGGACGCCTCGAGATCTCCCAGAAGGATCTGGAATGTGTTGCTCTGAGGATTGGATGAGTTTTCCTCCTGAAACCTGTTGCCTCTGCTGCCCAACCATGGATCAGCAGCTGGATGGATGGATGGATGGATGGATGGATGTTAGTAAGTAAGTAAGTAAACTTTATTTCTATAGCACCTTTCACAGACACAAACATCACAAAGTGCTTCACTGAAAGCAAAAATAACTAAAAA